GCAGGAAAGCTGACGTTTCAGGTCTGGACCCTTCTTCAGAAATGATTTCTGAAGAAGGGTCCAGACCCGAAACGTCACCTTTCCTGCTCCTCTGATGCTGCTTGGCTTGCCGTGTTCATCCAGCTCTACACCTTGTCATTTCAGACTAATTTGATGGTTCTTTTTAAGATCTGACTCTGGTATGATGATCAAAATAGCCTCTTTCTGAGCTGTATAATTCTATGATTCAATCTGTTTTTACTGCTAGTGCTTCTTGGTATTATGCATGTCTGTTGCTGCTATTCAATAGGATCAGACAAAGTAGTATTGCCTGAGATGATTTGTACCAGGTTTACCAACTCGTCACATATTCATAAGCATGTTATAAAGGATCTGATTCATTTTGCTAGTTTTGCTTCATAAGGCATCACAAGGTTGTAAGGTGCTGCAGGATGACATGCAGACCATACTAGGAATAGAGAACAACCATTTCTCTATTCACTGCTGCCACACACCCTTTACTGTTAAGCTGCAGCCTTGAAACAGGGAGTTCCAGTTTTGAAGCTCTCCAGCAAATGTGCTACATCCAACCCAGGCAAGTCTTTCATCAGCCACAAAACTACGGGCAAGACCCTGATTTCAAAATTCAACACTGCTCACTGTAGATATTCTATCCACAGACGAACCAGGTGATGTTATTTTCACTTTTTTCAAAAATTGGGGCCCAAATATTTATATTCCAAGAACTTATAATGTGATCAAGAGAGATTCCTTTCTAAACTATTTCATTGAAGATGTGCGAACATTCCTTACTCTCTTCCTCATTGTTAATTCATTCTGAAGTCAGATGAAGTAGGAAGCCACACATCAATCTTTTACTTAAGCTCAGTTTATTCACAAAATACTACATTAAAAATGCCTGCCTTCTCAACAACCAAAACCCAGTATTCTGGAAGATTTTCTTTATACTTCGTACCCTTCACAACCTCAGAACTTCCCAAGGTATTTTACAGCCAATTAAGTAATTTTAACATGTACCTTCTGTAGTAACATAGAAAATGCAGCCAAACGTGCTCCACGCAAATCAAATTCTTGAAGTACCTAGTTAATCAATGCTCTCCATCTATATATTCTTAACCTTAACAATACAATTAGCATGTCATTAACACACACCTCAACATTCAGATGGAAATACAGTAAAACATTAACTTTTAACTGTTTTATTGCAGTTTATTTTCAGGGACAGTTTTCCTTAGTTTTCTACTCAGAGAATACCTAGTTCAAAGGAGAAAAGGAAACAGAAAGGTAAGTGTTCCACTTTCAGGGATTTACAAAGTTCACCTCAAAACATGGCAGCTTCAACTCAGTGGTCTCAACTTAGGAGCACAGAAGCTTCCTGGCTCTTTAAACCTGACTTGAGAGAAAGTTAATCAGGGGTGTTAATGAAAGTCAAACCTGGTGCCCTGAAAAAATGTAGAAAATTTCACTTACAGGGGTTTTGCCAGTCACAGTGAGATCATTAGCCTGAAACTGTCTCAACTCAGTTGACAGCCTTAGGACAGTAGACTCCATCCATAAAGCTGTTTGGCCAGGGTCCCATTACTCACCCTTTAAAATGTGCAAAAGGCCATACTGAATAACTAATACGGCACTTTGTTACCTCCATAATTATATACAGATCGCCAATTAATGATTGAAACAATCTGATTTGCATAAAAGATAAATTATTAAATTCAGTTATACACTGGCCATTTATGTCATTGCTGTTTGCAAGATAGCAGCTGTACTTTTCTATGTTACAACAGAAACTACACATTAAAATGACTTACTTGGCTGTAAAATACCTTGGAAAGTTCTGAGGTTGTGAAGGTGCATGCCCTTTCCTTGACTACTGAAATTTGTGGCTGAGATGTTGCAGGATATTTTTATAACTGTAAACATTAAAATTAGATTCATAATGGTGGCTGGTTTAAACTCAGTCACATGTCATGTATGGATGATTTGAAGACTGCAACTTCTAAATGAAAGCAACTTCACAAGAATTCCTACTGGATATTGTTCTGCGATTACAATTATGTCATTTAAAAGGCGTTTGGATGGGTACATGCTTAGAAAGGGTTTAGAAGAATATGGGCCAAATGCTGGCAAATGGGACCAGATCAGTTGAGGATATCTGATCAGCATGGATGATTTAGACCAAAGGATCTGTTTCTGTGCTGTATAACTCTGACTCTGTGAATTTGCTTTTTATGCTTTTAATTTGCATTCCCTCAAGTAATATTTTCCTTAGATATATGATAATTCATATTGCAATCAGAGTTCATGCAGATTGTCTAACTAATTTTCCAGCTGAATTCAAGTTTGAATTTTATATGTCAATAGTATATTCTGAGTTCCAAAGCAGAATATTAGCCAGGGACAAACCACAAACCCTTCATATTGTATGAAGC